AAGACGTGATTTTAATTGTGGGACAGTTGGTTTGTTGAATTGTTGGACAGGGTTTTTGACTGTAAAAATCGACTTTGGTACACTCGGTGGGTCTCCACATATGTTTGGCCCTGATCCCCAGTTAACGTTAACAAGCCCCTGTGTTCCGGGTACTATTCTGGATGTGACCAAATCTGGCATGAGCCAAAATTTATCATGCGAAACATCAATCCACAATGGCTACACCTAGTCATGAGCCGGCCCAGAAAGTGGCCAAAATCCGACAACACTCAAGATCACAGGATCAATAGTTATGTTGTTAAAATGATAATATTACATTACAAGTCCAGAAACTTCCTGGACTTGGAAACTAAACAAGGAAGCGCCTCTTCATTTGACAACGAATCCATTGCACACGATGGCGACCCAGCGGCGAAACTGCCGCTCAGGTGTGGGTACCTGCGTGAATTTGGTTGCCGCGGTAAGCTCGATTAATTCGCTACCACTGCTGCCATGAATAAATTGCACCAGTGTGAAGGAGCCTTTACTATGGTGGCTGTCACAACATACTTGAGGGAGCCTGAACACTAGGGTGTCCCAACATTGCACTTTGTCCCCACCAACAAATCAAACTATCATTGAAATTGATAAATACAAATCACCTACTTTGTTGAAAATCACTTGATAACATTTGTTTCGAAGTTTCTAGAATTCAAAAGGAGGATATATGAGCGGAGAGGAATCACAAAATTTATTAGTTTCCATTTGATTGCCGTAGCAAGCAGAACCAAAAAAGAAAATCATGTCACCAAAAACCAAGCTCAACTCGGATCTCATCACCGGTATTGCGAGGAAGCATTTTTCCAGAAACCGTTTGCCGTCGGAGTTGGCCGTCATCAGGTACTTTCGATTCAAGCATGAAACCCAACAACTTTCAATCGGACAAAGCATTCGAGTTGTGGCTTCAGGGGTCCTTCAACATGTCTGGATATGAACAATTTAGTTTTGGAAACTCATTATGACTTCCATTAATCTTGTGTTTGAATTCTCATGTGATATATTATAGTCTTTCGATACATACTAACCTGAACATGTTCTGTCCGTATCTCCGGAACTAGATGACCGATTCAAAAAATCTGGTCCATAGTAAAAATACCATTAAGTTGGTTATTTTTGTATAGTTCTGCAAATATATAAGAATAGCATTCTAAACTTTGACTATATGTTTAGTATAACTTTTGCGTGAAGTCAACGACTTACATAGTTGAAGATGCTGATTTCAAATAACGGACTAAAGTGGTAATTTTTATACGATAGATGAGGAGATGAAAGTATAGAATTGATAGTTCCGTTAGAGTACGGCACTGTGAAAATTGCATATAGAGAGTAGAAAGCGAGCAAGGACAACTTTAGGAAGGTACAAATCGTTTTGATCATCTCTCTTTACCAAACTCCCCCGTTGGAGAGGGATGGTGAGGGATATTCCGAGAGTAGGAATGAATATCTCGATACCTTAAAGTGGTATGTTTGAGCCTGACATAAGAGGTAAATTACCAAAAAATAATACCAACAAAGTGTTCCCACAATATCATTCCACAATACCACCCAGGTATTCTTTTGGTATCCAAACATCAATTTTTGGTATTCACAAAGTATTGTGCATGTAATTTTTTGGTATTATTCTTTGGAATTTTACCTCTTATGTCATGCTGGTCAATGCCAAATTTTGGTATCAGATCAGAATAAGGTATTCATTAGTTATTTTCTCCTGCTCGAGCGCCACCACTGGGGAGTTTGGTAAAGAGAGATGATCAAAACCAATTTGTACCTTCCTAAAGTTGCCCTTGCTCGCTTTCTACTTTCTATATGCAATTTTCACACTGCCGTACTCTAACGGAACTATCAATTCTATACTATAAAAATCGTATAAAATTTACTATCGTATAAAAATTACCACTTTAGTCTGTTATTTGAAATTAGCATCTTCAACTACATATTATAAAATTGAAAAGTACAAAACACATATTTACATTACCGTCGTATTAAAAATATTAACGGCGGCGTATCAAAAATAAGCACGGCGACGCGCAGACTCAAAAACGTCGGTGGCAACGGAGTGTAAAAAATGTCGGCGGCGTCGGCGTAGCGCGGCGGTGCTCAGGATCTACCTAGTCCTGAGTAGGGAATTATTTAGTTTGGTTTAAAATAGGTATTAGGAGTTTTTAGATACTTTCATATTTTCAACAAGATCGAACTTTTGCCCCACTTGCACATCCATTTTGAATTCTACACATACCTATGGTTCTTTTTCTTACCGAGGCTTTTTCTCGGAGAGTAACATTCACGCATGGGTTGTATGCGAAATAGATGCTCGAACGTTGTTCTTTTCATGAATAAAATTTGTTGGTATCTCACCAATGTAAGCCGAGTCAAGCCGACTGTTTCTACTGTTTTCGTTTCGAACAATGGAGTTATGTCCTGCTCTGGAGAGGAACAAGAAAGCAGGACATGACCTTTTCCTCAAAAGGGACGACTACGACGACAACGAAGGTCCAAAGAAACCTTCGGAATGTCGCAGGCAATGAATCACTGCTGCTGCTGCTGCTGCTGCTACGAGGAAAAGAAAACCCGAACAAACTTAGAGGAAATTCGGGAAAAATGAACATAGCAGGTAAAATGATCACTTGACTTTTCTTACGGTAAAATCAAAGACACACAGACGTAACTTCAATCGTCGTACTCGCATTTAACGACCAATTTGAATATTACTAGATTTGCGAATCCCTCACACAGCGCTGGCATCAGATCACTTTGCCATTTCTAAATACATTCTATCGAACTTGTATGCCACATTGTTTGAGAACTGGCTATTTAAAGAGTTACGTCTGTTTGTCTGTAGTGAAATCATAAACATTCTGTAAATGTGAACAATTGAAAAGGTAGAAGACGCATCGACTGAACTGCACACTAAGAAACAATAATGTAAATTTAGGTGCTCTGAGATTGACATACACGAGCGTCAATTTTGACATAAAATTTAGTCATAACCCGCATAAACGCGAACCATAAATTGACCTTACCTAAAAAGGTTAAAAATTGTTTATAATCCCTGCTAAACTTTAACTGAAATGGTTATGGAACTTTACATGAACGTTTAATGATAAAGTTTCAACCTTATGTATTATGGTTTTTTGGAACTGGACCTTACAAATAATGGGTTGTTAAGAACCATTACCATTCCAAATTCTTGTTTTCTCCATACATTTTCAGAAAGAGAACTATATAAGAACGTTTTTACTTATGATTTGAGAACATTAATGGTAATGGTTATGGTAGTCAGTAAGGTCCATTAATGGTTTTGTATTATATATGTACTTTCGAACTTTTCAGTCTCAAAGCATTTCAAACTGAACATTGCATTAGGTCCGAAGAGAATCGATCAATGTTACTTAGTACCTAATGCAATGTTCAGCTTGATTTATTTTACATGTCGAGTATTAGTACAAGACACTGAAGAAGTCTGCACATTGTAGACGAAATACGCGTATCTGTCAAGGATAAGCAAATAAGGTAGTGGAATTAAATGGATATTACTAATCTTTCTCTCTCTCACCTGTATAATTCCACTAAGACGCCCACATTCATCAGGATTTACATGACATGTTTGTTGACGTTTCATCCTTTATGTCAAAGATGGATTCCGTCACGTGTAAGATTAGGTGTTTCTAGGTGTGTGCCTGTTTGCTGAATTGGATGATATTTTCTATAAATAACCCCTTAAATACGTCAAATGTTCATTTTACCCGCATTTCCCCAACCAAGAAATGAACGGATGAGAATAGCAAAACGGGAAAGTTTCTCATCCACCACCACCCCCATAAAAGTGCCATGAATATCTAATCGAGCATGCCGGGAGCTGTTTGGGCTTTTGCAACGTAGCCTCGTTCGTGCTCTCTCGCTCTGCCCATCCGTCGTCACCGATGTCGTCGCTGCACAGTTCATTTGAAAAATTATTAATTTTAACAGCTTTGTTTTTTCTTCTACTGCGCTTTTCAAACACTGAAGCACCATTTGGGATTGGGACGTGGAGCAGCATTTTTAGTGGATCCGAAGAAGATTTCTTGCAGTAACAGTATAAGTAGGTAGCGTAGGACTAAGGGAAGGAATTGGAAAGTTTTCCATCGGTTCACTTGAGCTTTCTACAAAAAAAAAACGATGTTTAAATATTGAAATCATTTGTTTGCAAGTGTTTTGCGGTTGACCCATACCACAGTATTTCACTTTCGGGCTTATTGGTTTTGCTTTTTATCTGCAGCATCACCAGTTTCCAGAACTGGTAAGCGTAGGTAGATTCTTTGAATTACGTTTCTCGTCCCAAGAGTTTTGAATGTTTGTTTTATGCTGAATCCGATTTTTTCTACCGACTAAGTTGAGATGGATTGAAATATTTAGTGTTTTACTTTATGCGTCGGTTGCTAATAATCTGGTTTTGAATCAACTAGAATCATATCGTAGCCGTACCCGTGTGAGGGTAAGATAATCAAAAGAGTGACCGTTGAGATGAAAGATAGTATGATATGAAGTAAAAAGATATGCGGAGATTTAACGCAACTTTCAATGCGAAATGTTAGCCATACGAAAATCGTCTCACTACTCTATCTTGCTCTCTGAAGCACTTGCACATATTACCAAAAGCTCTTGCCTTTAGAGCCTTAGCATTTTAATAGCATTTCTACATTGTCAAGCAAGTGATAAAGTGTAAAATCACACTATAAAGTTCGTTATACAATCGAGAAATGATTGGCAATTATGAAGAGCAAGTCGACGAAGATTTAAAGCTGACTCGAGAAGCTGTAGCGAGGTCCAGATGGTGAAACAAACTGGCCACTGAGCCTAACCTGCAGCGTGTGCAACAGATGATGGCGGTAATGTCAAAGAAAGTTTTGATGGAAAAGTAATTATTTAAAATAAAAAAAAACCTTGTCAAATTATAATAAAACAGAGTTCGTCTATTTCCCATCCACCCAGATGATTAGCAACCACTGACGCTCTTAATTCGCTATTGATCACCCGTTGTTCTGTACTTTTCATAAATCATTTACACCTTGTTCATTAAATTCCTACAGTTTGTATCTGCTTTTTCACTTCTCAACTGTTAGTTCAATAATAATTAATAAAAATATTCACGATTATTTCATTTTACATTTTGATTTTCATGTCGTGCTTATTACTTAGGATAATTTTCGCATTTTTCTCTTCCTTATCACATAACTAGCATATAATTTATCATTTGTTGGTCGATAGATTAATTTGCAGTATTTTTTATTCTTATCTTATACCACTGAAGTGTAACTTCTCTGAAGTTTTAAGCTGGCGTGAATTGCATTATACAAATAATGACATGCGGTGGTGTGTGCAGTGGATACAGGCAGCCAGGCGAAGTGAATATCCTTAACCTAATAACCATATAAAATAGACTGTGCTGCACTGCGCTCCATCACTAAAGATACTGCTGGGGATGGGGATGAGACTTCGATTAAGTGTTATTAGCATTATTATCGTAAACCAGATGGCCGTCCGCCGGTAAATCTAACTAAACGCTACGACGTTTCACAGTTTTCATAAATTATTCGCTCGGTAGTGATGATGGAGTGGCTAAGTCTTACTTTGTTAGCTCCCGGCGCCGAGCAGATGCGGAAAGGACACCACCCTCTGCCGGTGGCAGTAGAGAATGTAGCCCACGGCCAAGCTCACGGCCGCCATCTGGAGAACGCCGATCCGGTGGGGACCGCCCGCAGCTCTCGGGCTGTAGTTACATGCATCAGCATCGTTGCAACTTTGCAAGCAACCGTGGACGTATCTGTGGAAATGGAAAAGTGGAAACGGAGAAGGCAAATGGGAGCTTTAAATGATGGAAGAGCAGCAAGTTGATGACGGTGCTTGATACATTGAATGGATGATATAACTTTAATTCTATTCTGTCGATAATATTTATTAGCATTTTTCCACTTCTTGATGCAAACGTCAATTGGAAATATTTGTCGAAATCACTGCCATTTTCACTCCAACATTAGAAAAATAATCCATCCCTCACCTATCGTCATAGAAGAATCGCCCACAGTGGGACATCCGTATGATTTCCGTATCGGTAGTCAGCGTACCGCTGTCCAGGGCACAGCCTCGGACGGTGATTGTTTCTCCGGTGTCATCTGGAACGAGATAAAAGTTCAATGAGGTGATGAATCAAATATGCAACGTTGGTTAGTCGGTCGTCGTCGTCGTCGTCATCGTCATGGAACTGCCCCCTAATGGTGGATGGACATTGTCCACGTCCTTTATAGTCCCAACCGAGAGGTATTACGAATTCATGTAGGTGTTCGTATCGACCGCAGGTATGCACGGTTCGCCGAAGTCCTTTTAATGGTCCGTTTTCCAGGATACAGATAACGATGTAAAATATGCAGTAGCTCACAAACCACACACATACATAGATTCATACCCAGATAGGTGTGTGTGTGTTTGTGTGTGCGAGGGGAAACGGCACGTGACCTCCTTTTGTCATGTTGAAAGCGATGAACCGTAAGTTCTAGTTTATATGCAAATGCCGGTCAAACCCTTTTCTTGTTTTTCACACTTGCAACAGGAGTCACATCATCACTTCATTGCATGTCCATGTTCCGGCTTGGCGACATTGGACACCAAGCCGAGTGTTGTGTCATTCATGGTGTGCGTAGTCCTATGCCTAAATGATTCTTGAATGGGTTTATGGCAGAAGTTATCTCAATATCGGCTTGTCGCCGGGATCTGACATGGCCGTAAAGATGATGGATGGTGACATTGAGTGCCAGTCCGGTACTGCACTGCTGGTTCACTATGTCTGGCATCGCAAATGATTTGAATTGAAACAAGGATATGGTTTTACTATGTTGAGTCATAACCATGAAATTAATATATGTAGTGCTATTTGTAGCCACATTCTCGGATAGTCAACTTTGCTAAATGAAAATCTTAGGATTGATTTTGGAACAGAATTTGAACAATGAAGTCTAGTTAAAAGCCGTCCACTCCAGGCAACAAACCCACAAACTTGTTGGATATTTGAATGCTGATGAGCCACAGACAAATAGGCATAACTCTTCATTTTGATCTTCACACAAGTTGTATCTTTTCTGTAATAATTGTATAATTACAGAGTTGATTTAACGTCGATAGGATTAAGTGTATGTTTTAGAAATAGTGAAATTTTTGAATAATAAATCATATTCCAAATCTCCTTTTCCCTCTCCCGATCCTAACAATTGTCATCCACTAACCTCGAGAAGACCACGAGTAATCGGTTCCAATCCTTTAATTTTAGATTTAAGACATTTATAATGTATAAAGAAAATGATAACTTGGCTCTGCAAAGTTTATTCAATTGAACCTGTACAAATAAAGTAATTAACAAAAAAAAAAACAAGCTGTATCTTTACGCAATAAAGCAAAGTGGTGCACTTTCGGAGCGATTTGGCAAGCTGGTGTGCAGAAGAATGCATAGTGTCCGCACGGGAAAATACTTAAACTCGATTTTTCGTTTACGGAAGTACACCACCACACCGCAAAATAAACGTAACGCCTGCGTTATGTTGCACCGGGGACTAGCAAAGGCAACAAAAGTCATAGAAACGTGAACTCTGTTATGAAACTCATGATTTTGTTCGGTAAAAATTAATTAAGTTCATGAGCTGTACTTAATATCGTGAACCTGTTCTCGAAAACGGGAATATGGTACAATGGACTATAAAACGTCAACATTAATATAATTTCAATGTTTTGATTGGATTGTACAGTATGGAAGTGGAAAGAAACTGAAAACGACGAAAGGCTTGGCTGGAACAACCACCCATACCCCAAATTGGCAGCAGGCATCTGACCAGCAGATTGAGGGGACAAACTTTCAGGTCATCAACGGATCTTCGGTCACCATGAACGCCACTACCACCACCTTCATCATCATCATAACAAGCAACAAGCACTGATCACATCCCCACCGATGCTAGCCGCATCGGTGCTTGCTCATTTTCCCTCCCATGCTATTTCTAGGTTCCGAACTATCGGAAAACATACCCACTGCCTCTGGGGCAATCTTCAATTTTTTCTCCATAACTGGAGCCGTTTGGTCGCTTTGGAACAGGACGTTCACTGGTTAAGCCTTTCCTTCCACCATTCTGACGATACGGCTCAGCTGAATCCACTAATAAGCTACATACTATTCTCGACGAATCCATGCACTCACGGGAAAAAATCCGTTCCCAAATTTGTCAACCTTCAGTCACGAATTTCAAGAGCAAGTCAATTTTTTCGTTTACGAAAGTACACCATGAACAAAACTCATGGAAACGTGAACCTTGTTCCACAAAATAAAAATAACGCCTGCGTAACGGCGCTCCATGCACCAGCCCAACCATCGTATGTCATGAAAACTCTTCTCTTGAAAATCACGTCACAGTGGTTCTCAAGCAGATGAATCCGACCAATACTCTGGAACTAAGGTCAATTGAGGAATACTGGTCATATTGAAGAAAAAGGGTGGAACTGCAATTTACCCGAATAATTTCAAGCGGAAACGGAATCTGGCAGCCAAACAACTCAGGGGAAACATTTCAGAAGGGTATAACTCGAAACGTAAACAATGACTTTGAACGTCGATTTCTCTTGAATGACCGCACACCCACGGAATCTAACTACACCAGCTCATAGAACAAACATGTATCTGTCAGATAATTTAGTTAGTTTGAATGAGTGTGTTGTCATTCGTAAAAAACCGACGATCCAATTTATTGTTTTCGTTTCAAATTAGACCCTTCTGACATGTTTCCCCTGAATTGTTTGGCTGCCAGATTCCGTTTCCGCTTGAAATTATTCGGGTCAATTGCAGTTCCACCCTTTTTCTTCAATATGTGCTTCACAATTGACCAGTATTCCTCAATTGACCTTAGTTCCAGAGTACACTGAAGTCTTTTTTTACACGGTTTTTTTTACGCGGTTTTTTTTTTACACGGTTTTTTTTACACGGTTTTCCACGATTTACACGGTACGTTTTTAACGATTTCTCGACAACGATACAACCTATCGACTTGATTCCAATCACATTATCCGTTTCAAGCTATTTGTAATCGAATGGCATACTTAAAAAAAAAATCACAATTTTTGGTGTAAATACAGAAATTTTTAAAATATGTCTATATGGACCATATCATGCTTTAATTACAAATGGCATCAAAATCCGATTTTTTAAAAACATTTAAGCATGCGAAAAATCAAAATCTCGTAGGTTTTTTTTTACACGGTTTTTTTTTACACGGACCGTATCCCCCGTGTAAAAAAAGACCTGAGTGTATTGGTCGGATTCATCTGCTTGGGAACCACTGTGACGTGATTTTCAAGAGAAGAGTTTTCATGACATACGATGGTTGGGCTGGTGCATGGAGCGCCGTTACGCAGGCTTTATTTTTATTTTGTGGAACTTTTCACGTTTCCATGAGTTTTGATCATGGTGTTTTCACGTCCGGTTGTATTGGTGCAATATGTAGTAATACTAACCTCAACAAATTGCCCTTTTGAATAATTCCTTATCCCTTACTACGGACCATGCATCACATGGGAAGTATAATTCCATTACACATCATAAATTAAATACTCACTCAGCTCGACATAGAAACAATGACCCAAATTCTTAACATACTGAGAAAACACTGAGTCAGCACCAAAACCTTTTCCTTTTCCTTATTTTGAGACCATTTAAGTGCTACCATATGTACACAATAAATTCCGTGCGTATGTACGCCAAATAGTTTACAAAACAGCCTAACGCGTCGCTTCCCTCCATGCTAGTTTTCATTTGAAGAACTCGGTAAAATAAACTCACATTCTACTTTCAACTGTCTAAGACTATAGTGGATAAATCCGAAAGTCCGATCTTGCCACAAATATGTGAGAGCATGTTAGTGAATATCCGAAGATAATACATAACAAATCGATGTCAAACTCATTTTGACAGTTCTACTTTCATACATAGACAGAGGAAAATAATAAACAACTTTACACGGCGTTGCTCTCGCTAGTGTGCGTGCATTAAACGTCACTAATCTCTATAGATTGCATCGTTTAACTCGATTTGTTTATATTTTTACTTAGGACCTTTTTTAAAAGTAAGAAAGGAAGAAGTGTTAATTATGGCAAGTTTTGCTATAATCAATCCTCATGTTTATTCGTGAAATTCATATCGAAGATTGATCACTTGCGTCGGGAATCAACCTTCCAGTCGTATGAAACAGGTCCAAATCTGTTAAAATCCGCCCGCATTTTTGTTAGTGTTTGCACTGGTTATGAAAAAATAGTGGACTTTTCAGGAACACGGCAAATAACTCACCAACACTAGCGGACCGTGAGTACTGTGCCACTTACACATCTATCCATCTTGGTCAGGAAGTATCTATGGCTAGATACAGTCTTCTAAGCGGTCACCATTGCACAGTGGTTCCTGGCCGGTCAAAACCTCAAACATCAAAGTTGGTATTTTTTTATTTCAATATTTTTTTTATCATTTTTACATGTTTAGAGTATCTTAAATTGAATGATTTGTGCAGTTCTGTTGATTAAATATTTTTTTATGGCTGTTATAGTGTAGCTATATCACAAATTTTTGAAAAAAATCGTTATGTTTCTTGATACTGTTTTGCTCAAATATAGCAAAAAATTATGTGTTTATCAACTTGGTTGCTTCACAAGAAATGTTCCTCGACTTATTTCACGTCAAATGGATGGATAAAAAGAGTGTCTGCACTGTTTTTAGTGACAGTTTCAAATAAAAATTTAGCAAAAATGTACTTTTTTCACATTTAGACTAAGCAAAACATATGACGGACACATCCGCCCACTATCCTATAGTAACCAAAAGATAGCTAGAAAAGTTAGCTTTCAGATAGGCTTTAATAAGTTTTGCGATTTTTTGCGAAAGATGTTGAAATTAGGAATAACAAGTAAAGTGTTCTTTCGAAAATATCCGTTTTTAAGTTATATAACCTACGGTGCATACGGTAGCAAGCTTCACAATGCCTTTTTCAAGGCACATCAACACGCACACACATACACACACGCACCATATATCTAATTCTTATGATTCATGAGTTATGATTTTTTTAAACAAGCAGGTTAGGGTGGCTCCTAGACAATCGGCATTCTTTAAACATCTTTTTATACGTTCATTTCTCGTGAAATTTTATACTAGACATAAGAACCTTTTATGACGCATATTTTTGCTAAGGTGTTATCTCTTTTATTTGAATGCTTTAAACACAAAAAGCTCTTCCAGTTTTTTTTTACCAAAAATGAAGAAAAGACGATGTTTTCAATGAAGTTTAATGTTTGAAAATCGATTTGCCCCATATTGAGATATTGACAATTGAAAAGAGCCATTTTTTCGAAGAAAATAGCCTTTAGCTAGTTGCTTGAGCAAAAATATGCGTCATCAAAAGTTCTTAATTAATAAGAACAATGTTTTACGAGAAATTAACGCATGAAAAGATATTCAAAGAAAACCGATTTTAGTGGCCACCCTAAACTGTTTGTTTAAAAAAATCATAACTTATTAACCATAAGAGATAAAAATGTTGTGTCTTGAAAAAAGTTGCTTTGAATAGAATGTTCTACAACTGTTTAGAACACTGCTTTGGTCTATCTCAAATAATAAAAAAGTTTGTATTTTAAATTCACCAATTTTATGGACCACCCTAATTTTACGAACATAAAAAGATTGAACAAAGAATATGAAGCAACTTTCCCTAAGAAACCATACACCTAAAACTGACGGTTTGGGCGCAAACATTTTTGTCTTCCTATATACGGCTTTGGGACCATTGTGCATTGGTTTTGGTTCTACTATACTCCTTTTTGTGACATCTTGATTGTCAAATTTTCTTCGTACTGCTAATAAACATTTATTTCAACTGTTTTTTGCCTATTTGCAACAATTTTGAGGTTTTGGCTAACTTTTGTTCTAAGGAGAACCACTGTGCATTGTCGACACATTTTCTGTGATAATCGACTGCCTTTGCTTCGGACACTTGCAAATGAAGCTATCAAATAACAGTACCAAACTAAAATGTCTAATTAAAGGGTCTGTCATACGACACTGTCGCCGAAGACCGTCACGAATGGATGTTTTTTTAGTTTTTCTCATAATGAGAGCCGCTGATGTAGTGCTTGAGTGAATTCTGAAAATAGTAAGCAACGGTGTCCTAGTAATAACATTTCTGAACAGAAATGGTTTAATTTACACCGAATTGAGGAGTTAGAACGAAATCACACATGTCATATGATAGTTATTTGATAATTTCCTTTTTGCTCGAATGTTGTTCTACTGTTTGTGTTGTGTAAGAGAGACGACGGTAGAGCATGAGAGTACGAATACAACATACGAACAGACTGTCGCGCACGACAACAAAGCGAGTGTAGTAAAAAACGTCAACAGTTTCAACCCCTGGCTAGATATATGATCTATAATTTGATTTGTATAAGCGGTTGTCTACGGGGGTGGGGTTTGAAATCTATCAAAAAATGTCTACTTAGTTTATGGATAGCTCCTTACTAAATTTCACAGCTAATTTGTCAGAATGCTTCCAAATATAATGAAACCTTTCGTATCCGACTGAAACAGAATCGCTTTTGTACCGTATAGTTCATTTGTCGGTCATAAATTAGTTTCTTGACGCGGAAATGTCAAATTCCGCAGGTTGGCTAGATGCAATCCTGCAGTTGATCGAGCGGTTAATCGAATCGGTTTAGTTTTAAATTGCATGTGCTATGGTGGTTCAGCATCTATACTAGGGATGACATTTAGGAATTCGATTCCTAAACCAGATAAGTGATATCAGTGGCTGTACGAGCAAGCCAGTTTGCTTTAATGTTGATCATCGGGCAACAATATAGGCAAATGTGTCTACCACGACCCATGACGATCCGTGACAGTTGGCCTGAACATCCCTCCTAAAACCTTGTGTCGGTCATATCTATACAGTATCCCAATCATCACTACATCGCATCCCATAGCGATTGTAGGTGTATGAGGTGCATACTCACCATAGTAACCGGCAATTTTGATGCACGATGTGGCCGGGAATAGTCCGTCCCGGCCTTTCCGGCCACCCATGCAGGGCGATTCCAGTATCGCTGTCGAGTAGTTGTTGTGAAAGGGATCGTCGCAGGCTTTGTTCGCACCGTTCATTGACACACATTTAAAGCAATCAATTCCGTGTGCTGAAATGAGAGAAAATGTTGGGAAACGGTTATGCAGGTAAACACAAGAGGCATGTTTATTTTTATTTTCAATCTCAGGTTTGATGCAAACACATTTTCTGGCTGTGCTGCTGGGTGGGTGGTCAGTCAGAATGATTACAATGTTGTGCAATAATTGCAAATCGGACTTATGCTGCAACACGGCCTGGCGGGGGTGGGTTTGCTAATTGATTTATGAATAAAATATTTGCCACACGCTTCCAAAGCGTTTTAATGTACTTTACGCTGAATATCAACTGAATGATTAATTATGCATGACCATCCAAGCCCGGCGACGACGGGTAGGGTGGGATAATTTATGCTTAACGCTGGACCGTAAATGAAATTGTTTTGTTTTCGTTACCACCAATGCCCGTGGGATGGCACCGAGAAAGTTCCTATGCGTATCGTGTGGTCCGATTAGTACAATGGAACGATCGATGGAATGAAAATGTGCGGTGGGAATTTGAAGCTGATAGTTTAATCAAAGACCAGTACAGTTCGACAGTAATGGTAAATATTAAATTTTTCGATAATCGATTTTTCCCCGTATCCCATTTTCTCTTCCGTTAATAACTCGGCTACATTAACGATAAATGATTACTGTTTGACGTATCTAGATTTTTACTCTTTCAAAGAACTGTATGTGTTAATTTACTGGACATTTTTTTAAGGTCGTTGGCTATTCAAAAAGAAAGTCGTTGAAGTTTTACAAGATTTTTATCAGACTCTATTTTTTACAATGAATATATATATCTATTTATGTATTAGAGAAAGCTTGCGCAAAAAAGACTAGGGTGGGAAACGGATTCGAAACTCAAATGTCATTAGCCAAATACATCCATAGACCATATGGACAAGGGCGTAGCCAGGTTTCGAGCTAGGGAGGGTAGAAATTTTTTTTAGCCTTTGTGTTGCTGCTCCCCTTTTTGCCCTCCTTTTTGTTCCCCTTTTTGCCCCCCTTTTTGCCCCCTTTTCTGCCCCCTCTGGCTACGTCTATGCATATGGGTCATTCCAGCTCAAGTGGATACACCACCTGTGGTCACCGATTTGAGCTAAACTTGGTCAAAACGCTTATTTTGGCATTTTGAACAAACGTCTTTTTTATTCTGCTCTAAAGTGCCTAGATTCTTCTAGGCTGCAACCCTGGATTTTCGAGATTTTTTAAAATTTCAACTTTCAGAAAAGATTACTCCACAACCAAATAAGCTATTTGCGATCTTAGAGCATCAATTTGAAAGTTTTTTTTTTAATTTAGATTCTTATAAATTTACAAACATTTTGTTTTTGTTATAGTAACCGTTGTATAATTGGCAATGCACCCGTGTAATGAATGGGAATTGTGGGTTCGAATCCCACCGGTGCCCTTAGATTTTTTCGCAAATTTTCTCATACACATGTCTCTTACAGATGATATGAGCTTACCTTTCAGTATGTTCAAATTTTCTTACAAACAATTAAATTGACTGAAAGTCGCTGAACCGTAAATCACAACATATCTATTTCTATAAATATAAGAAGGTTTAAAACTTCTAATCATTCATATTCATGTTTCCCAAACAGATTATTACTATGAATACGAAAGTTTACACTGAAGTTCCATTTATTCAAAAGATATAGCTAGCCCTATTGCATTTTACGACCGCACTGATAGATGCAATTTACCTGCACTTTGTGCCTTTCTCTGGTTGCAGAGAAATCTGCAGCTTTCAGCACTTTAGTGCTCGTCTGGGGGTGGTAGTTGCCTGAAATCTCTATAGTCTATGCACTGTACTGGCGATGTTTGAAATATTCATCAACCTGCCGGAGGAAAAGCTGCTTCATGAACGGGTAAATCTCGGTGTAGATTGTTGGGCGAATTTGCTAACATTCGCTTTGGTATGAACGTTATAAAATTGCAGTAACCATGTGAAAGATGTGAATCATCAGCTACATCAATCAACGAGCGTACAGAATGTTAGTTCAATAATGCAGCAAGTCTGATTTAGTAAGCCGCTTCCTACATATAAACCCGATCAAAGTGGTTGCAGGAAAAAATTAAAAACCATCAAATCTCCAGTTCTGCTCAACTTTACACCAGATTCCGTCAAATCCTCTTCATGACTTTCTTCGAATCTGGGGCAGCGTGTCCTCTGGACCTGCTTGATGTATTTTCCTCAGGGTATAAAACCTGCCGAAGAAAAGTGGTTGTAAAAATACAACCATCATTCAACTGCAAGTTACTACAGAGGGACAAGTTGTAGGGGAAATATATGTATTCTATCCGGGCGAAGGACAATTTCGACAAACGGTGCTGTACATATGTAGGACTTCTATTCTGGAGCAAGGCAGGTAAACCGAGATTCGAATGGGTGGAATTTCTCAGCTCACTGAACCGGTCAGCTGTTGAGGAACACAAAGGAAAATCGTTGTGCTTGTTTTGCCTTTGTACCGTTTGCTTCATCCATAGTTCCACCGTTCCGCCATAGCTCTGCTACTGTGAGAAAGGTGTACACTTCTCTCAAGTGGATATGAATGAATATTTTAAACAGTTTTGTCGGAACAGATTTTGAGTACCGGACGAGCTGTTGTTGTGCTAGCATCCAAAATACATCCATCGCCGGACGGAGGAGCGTGGATGTTGAAGTGCCTACCTCAAAGCCCAACGTTTTAGAGCCAGTTCCTTGTCAGAAGCATACACACTGGAAGTAGCGAACAAATCCATGCTGAGCTGGATTATGTGGAGTTTATTTGATTATAGAATGGATGCTTGTTGGCTGTGCTGAATGGGAGTTTTCTGATTTGAAATTTTCATTAGAAGCGTGACAACAAAGAAAGCATGATGCTACAAAATACGTTGACGACTTGGTATGAGGGCTAAGGTGACAACTTTTCACGAAGAAAGTAGCTGAAATGACCAGAGCGAACCAATCCTGCTAAGATTTCAATGGTCTTTCCACTGTAAATTGGTAAAGTTTTGGATTAATTGAGAAAGCTATTCTTGCATGGAAAACTTGCATTTATCCACTTGAGGGTGTTGGTTCAAGAAGAAACTGACAACTTCTTTGGGGGTACCCAGAACATGCCCGGATGTGGCAAACTTTTTTATGACTACTTACTTACTACCTTAGATGATTATTTGGTTCACGTCTTGAAATTTCTGGTTAATTCAAAATTACAAAAAATACATCTGAAAACATTAAGCACTTCTCACGTTGCCGCTCAACCGCACCGTGTTTTTTTTCCAAAATGTTGGAAAAACGAGTTTTAGTACAATGCCGCTTTTGCCGCAACGCGCCATTGTGGGTTGTAAAACGGATTTCAGTGTATTGGAAAATATGCGCTTACCGCTATGCCACTATCATTGTGTTCAGCCCTTTAGTCTTCATCTATGTGATTCCTAATCTTCTAATCGTTGTTCCCTAGTTTGAAGTGGTTAAGACTAGGGTTCTGTTGCATGGCCATTATCAATGTCATTCCTTAATTTTGTTGCTAAGGAATCTAATTTTGACTGACAAAGGGGCGCGCCTTTGGAGGGTGTTTCAACACTCCGAAGGGTATAAATAGCGGGACCTTTCGATTAGAGTCGGATCCTTGCAATAAATGCAAGAATAACAACTGTAAAAAAATCGAATAGGGTAGAGGACTATTTTGGCCTAAGCGCCCATTTTGGGCCTATCAAGCAGAAAACATCAAATAAATCCATGACCGAAATCAGGCAAATTATGCGTTTGGTACCCAATATTCTCAAAAACAAATGAAGCGCTCCGACCGAATCAATCTTTATCTTCATCCGATAGACCGAAGTGAATTCATTGGAGTTTCAATGGAGTTTCAATGCGTTAGGCCGAGTTTAGAATCCGTAGGCTGAGTTTGGCGTCAAGAAGCAGTGGTAGACTTTTAACAATATCTCAACAATTTGTTTCTCTTTATCAAATCTTCTGGTAGGGGAAATGGCTCTATTGTTGGCCTATGGATCTAAGATTGGGCCCATCGCTAAAAATCTGCTATTTATCAATTTTATCTAGATGAACGCGTCATTGCAACGGTATTAATGGATATTTTTGGTCGCTATTGAAATTTTAGTCGATTGATGAATTTATGTATGGGCCCAAATTAGGAGCATTTAGGCCGACATTACATTCATTTCCCCTACGTACGGAAAGGTTAATACATTTAAAAACCATCAGTAATAATAACATTCCGTTCGGTGCTAAACTAAGCTAGCTTAAGAAAGACTAAGTGCGGGTTGTGATTAATAGGCCGGAAATTGGGTACTTAACCCTACTTCATAATTTATCAATAGTGATGGTGGACTAATACGACATGCACTAAACTAAACAATAGATCAATCGGGGGACATCCAAACGCCAAAATCTCCGTTAACCTTCATGGTGCATTAGGGTCTTTTTTTGACCCAGCGTCACTATAAAAAAAAAACTGTAACTTTGTAACGAAATATGATAGAGACATGAAATGTCCTCACTTTTCCTATTTTTTGAAAATGAACATTTTACTGTCAAAAGAAGCTTTCAGCGACATCTAGGGATGGCGCTACAAAAAAAGTGACACATTGTGCATTAAGGTCTAAAAAGAGCAACTCACTCCCAAAAATCCATTTTTGGTATATTGGCCTCAAAAGAAAGATAAAGGTTTCTAGAATGGCACCCTGTCCCTGTCAAGGTTGTTCCAATTTGACCATTTAAGATACCTGGCACCGGTTCCGATAGGGCCCAAATTGACATTTCCAAAACCTCATGTGCTGTCTGACGGCTCAAAATTTATGATTTTTCATGCCATGGACCAACAGGTGGGTCTGACCTCTTCTAGATACCCAAAACTGGTTTCAGCAGGGCTCCAGAAAGGGTGCTTCCAAATCCTCATCTACTGGTACCGTCCGACGGCTCAAAATTTATGATTTTTCATTCAGAAGTAAATAGACATCATGCCATGGGACGATGGTGGATCTGGCCATTTCTGGAAACACGGAACCGATTCCGCTA